ATCGATGATTTCCTCTCATCACTGATGTTTCTATCTCTCTCTCCCTCTCACTTCTTCTCTGAAACCAATAAAAATATATTAAACAGAAAAAAGAAGAAAAAAAAGTCGGTTCTACCTCCAAAGTCAACAGCCAAGAAGTGGGTAAAACTTCAGCATGTGGTTCATTACCCAAACAAGAGACAATGTCTGACCCACCAACAGCACCACCCAAAGTGCCCAGAGGCCAGGGAGATGAGGGGATGGCAGATCCAAAAATGGTTGGAAGAGGGTCACTTGGGGGGACGAGGGGGCCCTCACCTCGGAGGGAGTCCACGACGGCCTGCAGCACCCGCACGGCCTCCTCCCCAAGCAGCGGGTAGTAGCGCTGAGGGAAGAACTCGGCCAGGTTCTCGTGCTGCAGGCAGTTGGCCAGGCGGTCGGGCAAGCCCACCACCCTGACTAGGAGCGCCTCCTGGAGCAGAGGAAAGGCCAGCTCGGCCTGCTGCCGGCACTGCCCCTCCATCACAGCGGCCATCCTGCCCGCCTTCAGGAACCGCGCCAGCAGCCTCGCCATCTTCATCAGACGGAAACTGGGACTGAACCAGAGCAGGTGTGATGGGTAGAACCCCAACCCCCTCCATCCTCATCATCCTCGGCCGATGGGAGTAGCAACAGCCGTCACTGAACAGGTAATCCCAACAACTTAACTGGCCCTATTCCCTCCACACACACACTGAAAGGAAGAGTATTTAAATCTCACTAAGTAGCTGAGATTACCAGCGGGGCACAAGCCCCTGCTGGGCCCAGGGCAGCCTCCTGCCTTGGAATCACACTGGACACCGTCGCCCTCTCCTGGCAGTGCTTCTCATATGGTGCTTGCTTTCTTCATCAGCCCCGCCTTCCAACCAGGCACCCCACAAGGGCTGTCCTGTGCTCTGATGTGGAATCTAGGACCCAACCCAAGTGAGGGGTCCCGTGAGCTTGCTGGGGCACCTAAGTGCCTCACTGCAAATCTGGGAGCCACGGGGTGAAGGAGAGGGCGATGGCGATGCAATACCACCTGACACTTCCGTCTGGAGCTAACCCACGGCCTCAGCCGCAGGGACTCAAACCCCCTCGTCGCAGGGTTTTAATTTGCAGGTGCCCTGTGACTGGTTTGCAATCCTTCAGGCCTTGCTTATGCTTTGGATGGGACAAGCCACCCCATAGTGAGCCCCAGCCCCACTCACCCAGGGGTGTCCTCTAGGGCCTCCATCAGCACGAGGAAGGCTTGGTCAGCTGGGCCCTCCAGGAAGAAGCTGGCCCACAGCTCCTCCAACTGGCCATCAGGCAGCAGCCCCAGCCAGTCCGGGCTCAGCTTGCTGACCAGACATCTGAGAAGGGCAGAAAAGTGGAGCCTGGCAAACTCCTCCTGCTCCGCAGGGAGGGCCGGGTTCTCCGTTTCTCCGAGATAACGCTTCAGGAACTCCAGGGTGGAGAAGATGCAGCCTCCATCCTCAGAAGATGAAAGGGTGTGGACCGCCTCGCGGACAGTGAGCCGGACCGAAGACAGCACTGGATCCATCCTGTTCACAGGGAAGCACATGAAAGTGCATGGAGCCGTGGGCATCCACACGGGACCCAGTCTCGGAGAAGGAAGCATCTCCCATGCACTCTCAGACACCCCCACCCTCTGGCCTCTTATTGTTAAGTAAACTTCCTGGGACCTCATTCCTCTTCACCCCTACTGTCACCCAGCAGTATCCTCTCCCTCCCACCTCTTGCTCTGTTTTCACCAAGAGCCCTTTTCAGGACCTGAGGCCCTCTATGGCACTCTCTACAGTAGCAGGTCAACCCGTATGGGGACAGATGCCAGTAACTGGAGAAGGCAAGGGCAGGGATGCTGGTAAACATTCCACACACACAAGACAGCCCCCACAAGAGAGGATTCTCCAAACCAAATGTCAACAGTGCTGAGGTTGGGAGACCCGGTCTAGAGGCACCCATCAGTGCACTTCCGACTTTCATTCGTCTTCCTTTTCAGAAACCACCACCGTCTGTGAGTAGTATTTATTTCTGGTCGAGCGCCCCGGCAGGACTAAGTACCGTTAAGCAGGCGCCAGACTGTTATCAATGCACCCAACCTCTTGAAAGGCTGTATTAGGGGCCCCACGGGGTCCCCCAGAGCCTGGTGTCTCCCGACCCAGCCGGGTCTGAGGGCTGCGGGACGCGGTGTGCATGTGGCTAACAGCGCAGCGACCAGCGCGTCCCACGCCCCCTCCCAAGCGTGCGGCAGCAGCCCACCTCGTGGAGTGACAGGAGGGGCCTCGTGGAGCGGGAGGGGTCTCCGGGCCGGGAGGAGGGCCTCGCGGAGCGATCAGACCCCGCGCGGCCGCTGTGGACCCGCTGCCCGTTCACTGGGGTCGCCGAGACCCAGCTCTGGCTGGCCCCCAGCGCGCGGGCCGGAGCGCGGGCTCGCAGGCCCCGGCGGCGCTGCCGCGGAACTTCTTGGAGCTCGTGGGTCAGCTGACCGGCCCCGACCAATCCGCGAAGCCCGGAAGCCAGAAGGGGCGGGTGCGGGCGCCGCATCTGCGCCTGCGCTAGACAGGGGGCGGGGCCTGTGCCGGCGGGGGGGGCGAGGCGGGGAGGTCCCCTGTGGGTGCGGCCACGCGCCGGGACTTGGCTCGGAGCAGGGTTCCTCGGGGCGCAAGGGGGCGCCCTTCTCCTCCCAGCATGTCCTGGTTACCGGAGTGATCTCCAGCCCTCGCTCAGCTCCGGAGCCCAGTTCGCGTCTCCACACCAGCTGGAGCACCGACCGTCCCGAGGCAAGGCCCTGCGCTCCAGGATACGACGACCTTGACGGGAAAACGCACTGCACACCCGGAAGCAGTAACAGCTGGAGTGGGATGGGGATTCATGACTGCAGTGCTGTGAGCCAGGGCCCTGGAATAGGAGCTGTACGATCAGCCCGTGACCAGCAGCCACAGTGGCTCTGGAAATGAGCTGAAATCAAATAAAAGGTCGCACCAGCCCCGCCTGTAGGCAGTAGCCGCCGCAGTGCACAGCGCAGGTAGGCTGCCTTCAGTCTGGGCAGAAGTGCCTACGGGCAGGCCCCGGGAGTGATCTGGGAAGACTTCACAAGAATGTGCCATTTCCGCCCAGACCAGTGATTCTCAACCTTTTTCATCTCGTGGTACACATCAACTAATTACTAAAATTCTGCAGCACAATAAAAAATATTATTGGCAGATCTGACAAAAATAAGTATAATTTTGATTCTTTCACATCGGATGCTATTGTGTTGACTGTTGTCGTTTTTTGTTTTTTATTTGACAGCATAAGGGAAAAGAGGTCAGTGCCCCAACTAAATAGTCAGGTATTGCATGTTTTAAAAATTCTTGTGGCACACCGGTTGAAAATCACGGCCTGTATGTCCTTCTGAAAAAATCTGGGAAACATTTATTCATTCAACTTACATTAATTAAATTGCCTGCCATGTGCAACAAGCATTCTTCCAGGTAAGGGAATGAAGCAGATAAAGTTCCTTCTCACATATCAAGAGAGAAAATAAAGTACATGAGCAATACACCAAATGGCAAATAGTTGTAGGAAAAAGTAAGCGGATAAGGAAATGAGTGACTAATGGCCGAATCATTTTAAAACGTCTGCTCTGGGTGCATTTGGGAGAATGGACGATAGGGGATTCAGGGAGCCAGCTGGGTGGCTGGTGGGGGCCAGGTGGTGAAAACTGGCTGATGGGGATATTTCTGCGGAATAGAATTGATGGATTGAATGTGGAGTGTGACAGGGAGGGAGGAGTGAGGATGGTGACATCTTGAGACTCTCTGGAAATTCCTCCCAGTCCACTTATGGATCTCCACTTCCTACATCGACTGCAATAATCCTCTATTCCTCTGCTTTCCTATGATTCTGTAACTTCTCACAAAACAGTGCACAGAAGATCAACTTCTTAAGCCTTTACAAATCTGAAAAATGCCTTTATTCTTTTCTCCAGGTCAATTTACACTTGAGGGGGGTGCACAATTTTAAAATTTGAAAACCATTTTCGCTCAGTAATATTAAGGGTTGCTCCTCTTTCTTTGGCGGCCAGCAGTGCTCTGCAGAAAGTCTCAGTCCTTCCTGTGTGACCAGGTGTCCTGCCTGGACACTTTTCAGATCCCCTGTCCTCGGTATCCTGGCACTTGATGAGAGGAGCTGTCCTTTCTGAGCAATTGCTTTAACTTTGCCTTTCAGCTGTGTGTGGGAAGGTGGGGGTATCATAGTTTTTATTTTTATTTTTTTAGTATATATTTTTATTGATTTCAGAGAGGAAGCGAGAGAGAGATAGAATCATCATTGATCGGTTGCTTCAAGCAAGCCCCACACTAGGGATCAAGCCCAAAATCTGGGCATGTGCCCTGACCGGGAATCTAACTGAGACATCCTGGTTCATAGGTCCACGCTCAACCCCTGAGCCACGCTAGCTGGGCATCATCGTTTTTATATCCAAGAGCAACTTCCTTTCTGATTCCATTCTTCGTAGCACCCACTACTTGCCTTGTGAACACAACGCTTTTCTTGTTTTCCTAAGGGTATTAATTAGAACCTTCTTGAGCTTTTCCTTGGCCTTCTGGGTCTCCTGGGTCTCTTCACTGTTTGGGCAGATTTCTGTCACTCTTTTCAGAGGTTTCCAAGTGTCTGGTGATGCTTGGCTGAGCTTTCACATTCAGCAGGAGAGAGTCAATAGGGCTACAGAAAAGGGGGACTAGCCGAAACCGGTTTGACTCAGTGGATAGAGCATCGGCCTGTGGACTGAAAGGTCCCAGGTTCGATTCTGGTCAAGGGTACGTACCTTGGTTGTGGGCATGTACCCAGGAGGGGGTGTGAAAGAAGCAGCTGATCGATGATTCTCTCTCTAATAGATGCTTCTAACTCTCTATCCCTCTCTCTTCCTTTCTGTAAAAAAATTGATAATATATATATATATATATATATATATATATATATATATATATTTTTTTTTTTTTTTTAAGAAAAGAAAAGGGGGACTACATCATGCAAAGACCATTTTCCAAATAAGGTCCCATTCACAAGTACTGATACAGAGGTTAAGACTTGAACCTACATTTTGGGGGTCACCATCCAGCCCACTACACAACCTGTCCCCAAAATAAATTATGGCGGCTCCCGGTCCCGTGTCCTTTGTCTTACACGAGGGAGAGATGTCCTCATAGGATGCCCTGTTCCTGGTGCGGTGCTGGGCCCCACTACAGACTTGGATCCAAGGACCCGCTGGCCCCAGCCAGGTCCTGTGTCCTGCTTTTACTTCCTTTGGTGGGAACATGAATCCCTGTGCTCCTGCGAAAGCAATCACCCCGGCCGCCGCGGAGCCAGCCGGCCCAGGGCCTTCACCCCATGGAGCTATTTTCCAAAGACACCGCATCTGTTTTAAGCTTGTCTCCTTGGGAACCTCTGACTCTCCCGAGCCCGTGGGCTGGGAGGCACATGCCTTTCATTTGGTGGCAGGAAGTATCTGACTCCCAGCCAGAGTCAAAAAAGGAAATTTCTCCACTGAGAGCTGGAGGGAGCACAGGCTGAGGCAGGAGCACCAGGCAGGCGGCAGCATCCTACACGTTGGTGGCAACTCCCGCTGCTCTTCTCAGAATGGGCTGCCCAGGAGGGACTGCCCTGTCTTTCCTTCTTGTTTTTGTGCCTGTCTACCTGCATGGAGCTTGGTCGCAGGAAGCCGGCCCTGCAGGGCAAAGAAAACCGTTTTTCGAGAGGCTCCGCAGGCTGGAGGAACAGGTAAACACCCACCATGCAGGGCAGGCGGTTTTGTTTTGTTTGTTTGTTTTGTTTTTAATTGGCAACAGAAGGACAGACGTGACGGAAATGGAGTAGTGAGCTTTGGCGCTCTGGGGACACAGGCGTGGAGTGTGCAGTTCTTTTTATCAGCCGGTGTTATTTTCCCTGCGGCTGGAAGCCAGCAGAAAGGTTCCCCGGGCCCGGGTTCTGCGGACAAGTAAGGGTTCTGACACATGAGGGCTGAGTGAGAGTCAGAGGCTGGGAGGGGGTAGGAAGTCCCCAGGGGTGCAACCAGGCTGTCGGATCTATGGAGGGGTGGGGGGAGGGGAGAGAAACGGACAGGGCAGGGGAGTGGAGGAGGTGGCAGCACTGGGCAGCGGGTGAGGTCTGCAATCCATTGTGGAGCAGACACTCCCATGCGGGTCTGTAGCCAGTTCCCGCCCCGCATGGGCCTCCAGTGCTCCCCGCTTTGACCCGCGTAAGCAGTTCTCTCAGCCCATCCTGGTGTCCACACACCCACAGGGAGGACCCTGAGGGTCAGGGGTGAAGCGTAGGGGACCAGGCTGGTGGCCTGAAGCCCTCACCCAACACAGTGCTACCGATGACTTTGAGCTGGTCCCCCCCCCCCCCTCCCTGAACCCGGCTGGGATGGGGCTGGCCATGGCCGTTGGTAGGCACCACAGAAGCATGGCAGGGAAGGCTTGTTCGGAGCCCTCCCGGGCCCTGCCCCCACGGCTGCCCTGTGCCTCTGCAGTTCCGGAGGTTCCAGGAGGTGACCTTAACACACCTGCAGGCCGTCGCCAGGAACTACAACCTGTCCTACAGCATCGACGCCCGGTTCCAGAGCTTGGCCCAGGAGAGCCAGGCCTTGGCTCTGGCCGTCAACCAGTCGCAGGCCACTGTGCAGGGCGACCTGGGCCACCTCAAGACCTGGATTCGAAAGACACAACGCAGAAGCCGGAAGGTGGACTCCAGGCTGCTGGCCTTGGGTGCCGCCCTGCGGGAGAGGACCCAGCAGCTCACTCGGGAGAGGAAGGAGCAGGCGGCGCAGAGGGAGGCACTGTCCAGCCTGGCCCTGGACATGCGAGCCCTGCAGGACACGCTGGCTCACCTCACCGGCGTTGTCCAGAGCCAGGGTGCCAGGCTGGATGCTCTCAAGGAGTGGCTCCCAGTGGCTTGCCCTGGCACCACGGACCCTGCCCGGCCTGGGCTGCCAAGCCAAAGCTCCCTGGAGCTGCAGGGGATCAGGCAGGTGCTCAGACCTTCCCCGGAGCCCCTGGGCCCACCTCGGGATTTCGCTGGTCGTCTCCAGGGGACACGGGAGCCGCCAGGCCCAGGCGGCCAGCGGGCATGGCGCCCTGAGAGCCTGGGAGAGAGTAAGTACCATGGACCTGCCTTCCCTTATCCACCCCCTCTCTCCCGCTCACTGACTGAGGCATTGGCCTCTGTCCGCTCCAGAAGCCTCTCCCCTGTCCTGTGTGGAGAGAACACTGGCTCATGCCCCACTACCCCAGCCCAGAAGAAAGGGGCCATCCCGGTGACCGCCAGGCTGTGGGTCCCCAGCAGGTCAGGCCAACCCTTGGCCTGGGCATGAGGGGTGAATGCACACGTGGGGTGCTGCCTGGCATTAGCACATTGGCCTCATTCGGGCTGGCAGGATCCCACCGATCGCCACAGGAGCCTCTGCAGGGCCCTCGCTCAGCTGGCACCCCGTGGGGCTTGTGCCCACCTGTGGAGGGCCGGGCCTTTGAAAAGCCAGCTCTGATTTCCCAGGTGAGGGCTTTTCGACCAAAGCAGTACTGACCTTTGGGGCCAGACGGTCCTTCGCTGTGGGGGCTGCCCCAGGCTTTGTGGGGCGTTTAGCAGCACCCCCGGCCTCCACCCACTAGGGCCCCTCTATCTTTGACTTGTATTTTTGTCTAGGCTGCTCCCGCTGTCTTGTTTAGCAGCCTCTGGGGCCCCTTAATCTGAATCAGGATTTCCCTTCACCCAGGACATGCTGGTGGCCTCGCCAGTAAGACAGGATCAACCGCTGACCTTCCAGAAACTGCTAGGGCTGCCACAAAATGGATTTGACAACCAAAACACCATGCAGACCCTGCTCGATGTCCCTGGGGCACAGTCAGCTCTGGTTGAGGACCGCTGCCCTAGATAATGGCAGGAGCCCCCAAGGCAGAGAGAGGTGCTGGAGGCCCTCCATCCTCACGCTCAGTGGGATGACGGTCTAGAAAAGCATGTTCCCAGGCTCTGCCCCAGCCTGCCAGTCAGAACCTCAGACCAGGTGCAGCAACTGGAGGCTCCCCCTGCTCCCACCCCCACCCCACACCCCACACCCAGACAGGCAGATCTGGCAGGAGGTCTGGTGGGCAGGATGGTGCCCCCCAAAGACGTCCATGTCCTGACGCTGGGACCCTGTGGCTATGTCACCTCATGTGGCAAAGTGGACTATGCAGTTGTGATTTTGAGATGGGAGATGACCCTGGATTATGGCATGGCCCAGGGTCGTCGCAGTGTTCCTAAATAAGAGGGAGGCAGAGCATCAGGGTTCGAGGCGGGTCGGACAACAGAAGCAGAGGGCCCAGGGATATACTTTGAAGATGGAGGAAAGGCCCTGAGCCATGAAGGTGGGCGTCTCTGGAGGCTGGAAAGGGCAGGAACGGGCTTGTCCATGGGTCCTTCAGAAGGAACCAGCTCTGCCAGCACCATGGTTCTAGCCCAGGGAGACCTGTGCTGGACTTCTGGCCTCCAGGACTGAGGTACAAGATCTGTGTTTGTGCCACTGAGTTTATGGAGAATTCTCGCAGCAGCCACAGGTGACTCACAGAGAGGCTCCCTCATGGTGAGGAGTGTGGGTGCGGCCTGCCCCCTAGCAAGGCACGTAACTGCCTGGTCTCCGTCTTCCTGCCTGTCAGACGCAGTCCTCACAGTTACTGCCTGATGAAAGCCAGCTGCTGGGGCCTTGGGAAAAGCCTTAGGAAAAGCCTGCAGCATGTATGTTTCTGGCTGTTTCTGGAAGCTTCTGGGTGTTTCTGGGTGACCTTGTGGTGCCTGAGCTGACTCTCCCGCCCCCCTCCTCTGTTTCCAGTCTGCAACGTGGGCCCTGCACTCGTCTTTCCAAACACCTCCACGGAGAACGTGGTCTTCCTGAGCCCCGGCTTCCTCTCAGGCCTGCGGGCCCTGTCTGTGTGCAGCTGGGTCCGAACAGCCTCGGGCCACCTGGGCACCCTCCTCTCCTACGCCACCGCCGAGAACGACAACAAGCTGGTGCTGCACGGCCGGGACTCGCTGGCCCCCGGCTCCATCCACTTTGTGATCGGAGACCCGGCCTTCAGGGAGCTGCCTCTGCAGCCGCTGCTGGACGGCCAGTGGCACCACGTGTGCGTCATCTGGACTTCCCTCCTGGGCAGGTACTGGCTCCACGTGGACCGCAGGCTGGTGGCCACCGGCTCCCGCTTCAGGGAGGGCTATGAGATCCCCCCCGGAGGGTCCCTGGTGCTGGGCCAGGAGCAAGACATTGTAGGGGGTGGGTTTGATGGCTCAGAGGCTTTCGTGGGGAGCATGGCTGGCCTGGCCATATGGGACCGGGTGCTGGTCCCCGGGGAAGTCTCACACCTAGCCACGGGGAAGGAAGTCCCGCCGGGCGCCATCCTCACACTGGCCAATGCCGCCTCGATAGGCGGGTTTGTGCGGAGGGTGAACTGCACCTGCCTGGAGCTCTGCCCATGAGGTGTCAGCCCCCCCCCCCCCCCCCCCGGGAGCTGTGGTCATGCTCCGGGCTGGCAAGAGGAGCAAGTCTCCAGCTGTGCTCAGCCCTCCCTGACCCCAGCACACTCCACAGAGGGTCCCCACCCAGCCTGGGGAGCCAGGGGCAGGATGCTGCCCCTGGGCCAGGCACACCTGGTATCTAACGTAGAATGTGGGCATTCCATGGGGCGGGGGGGGGGGGGGGGGGGGGGGGGGGGGGAGATAACCTGAGCGGGGCAGAGAGGGCGGTGGCTGAGACTTGAGTCAGGGTCCCTAAGAATCGCATTCTTTCCCTCGATGCTGCTGCTGCCTCTCTGTGTTATGCCATCATTTTAACAGGCCGGGCCAGGCTGATGGGAGTGCTGGGCCCCCGCGGGGCCTCCTCGGGGTGCGGGGCCACTCCCATTACAGGCTGCTTCTGTGAGAACTGCTTTCCCAGAAACTGCACAGGCAGCATGTGAGCTGTCACCGCAGCCTCTCGGGGTGGCTGTGGAAGTTCCCTTTGGTGGCCCTTGTTCCAACGTCTCACAAAAAGGGCTGAGAATTTATTTCCTGGCCCCCAACACCACCGCCCCCCACTTGAGGGGAGTCCTCGGAATCCCCTCAAGGCCCTGTGATGGCGGTTGAGGTTACCTAAGCCTCTAGGAGAGCGACCCTACAGGGAGCACAGTCTACTCAGAAATAAACATGAACGATGGACAGGAAATGCTTTTAAAGCAACTGTCTTGGGGTAGAATCACATCCTGTAAAAGTCACTAATTTTAAGCATACAGTTAAAAAATATTTAGTAATTTGCCAAATTGTGCCACCATCCCCACAATCCAGTCTTAGAATATTTCTGTGGGCCCCACCCCCGAAAAAGTCATGCCAATTAATGGTCACTCCTGTCTCTACCCTGCCCCTTCCCCCCAGCCCTGGCAACCCCTGATATGCTTCTGCGTCTGTGGGTTTGCCTGTTCTGGACATTTCAAGGAAATGGAATCATGCAGAGGTTGTCCTGTTGAGTCTGGCCTCTTTCACACAGCAAACGTTCTCCAGGTTCATTCATCTTATAGTGTATGTGTCAGTGCTTCATCCCCTCTTATGGCTCAGTAACATTCTCTTGTAGTGGGCCAATTTTGCTTATCCATTCAGCAATTGATGGGTATTTGGATTGTTTCTGGTTTGGGGCTATTGTGAATAAAGCTGCTGTATACATTCTCATATGAGTCTTTGTCTAGATATGTACTTTTATTTATCTCCAGTGGATACCTAAGGGTTAGAATTGCTGGATTATATGGTAAATTTGTGTCTACACTTGAAAGAAACTGCCAAACTGGTTTCCAAAGTGGCTGTATCATTTCACATTCCCACCAACAATATATGAAGGTTCCCATTTCTCCACACTCTTACCAACACTTAATTTTTTTGTTTGTTTGTGCTAAGTCATGTTTAAAATGTGTAGCTTTGGGACGTTGTATTACAAAAAGCTGTTTTCATATACCTGACTAACAGCTTAAAATTTACCAGACATTTACTTCATTTTTTAGCTTGACTGTCTAGTAAATCTTTAGCTTCATTAATTTTGGCTGCTGTATAAGGAGATCTTCCCTTGTCAGGTGATTTAAAAGCATAATTCGTTGGTGAGCATCGCTTATTTTTCCTTTATTGGCGGTAGGGCTTACACCTACCGTGTTTCCCCGAAAATAAGACATCCTCCAAAAATAAGACCTACTTACAGGTTTCCTTCTGAGTGAAATATTGGGTCGGCAAGTAAGTAATTGCGGATTTTTTAAAGAAAATCAAAGACAATTTTTTCATGGAACTAAATAACTTTATTCTGTAATGTATTGCCCATTTTGATCAATGACCTTTTGCCATTTTTCAGGCAGCATCATAATCCCACGTTAAAAAAAACTTCTGGTTTTTATTAGCAAAAAACTGAATCAGGTACGATTTGACATCATCATCATTATTGAAATTTTTACCATTCAAGGAGTTTTGTAAAGATCGAAACAAAAAGTAATCAGATGGTGCAAGGTCAGGACTATATGGTGGATGTGGCAAAACATCCCAACCAAGCTCCATTAATTTTTGCCGAGTGACCAAAGATGTGTGTGGCCTTGCATTGTCATGATAGAATACAACACCTTTTCGATTTGTCAATTCGGGCCGCTTTTCTTCAACTGCATTGTTTAATTTCGTTAGTTGTTCAATGTAGACATCAGAATTGATCGTTCGGTTGGGTGGTAAGAGTTCAAAGTAGACAATTCCTTTGTAATCCCACCAAACTGATAACAAAACCTTCTTTTGATGAATATCAGCTTTTGATGTTGTTTGAGTTGGTTCACCTGGCCTGCTCCACGATCTTTTCCGCTTGATATTGTTGTAAACAACCCATTTTTCATCGCCAGTTATCAGTCGTTTTAAAAATGGATCATTTTCATTACGTTTCTTTAGCAAATCGCAGCTGCTAATGCGTTGCGTTAACTGTGATTCTTTCAGTTTGTGAGGAACCCATGTATCGAGTTTTTGAACATAGCCAAGTTGTTTTAAGTGATTTTCAATGCATGTATGTGATACATGAAGCTTCTCTGCAATCTCACGTGTTGTACTGTGACAGTCCGAATTGATTATTGCTTTGATTAGGGCGTCATCAACTTCAATTGGACGACCAGAGCGTTTTTTATCTTTGAGTGAAAAATCACCAGAACGAAATTTGGCAAACCAATTTTGACACTGCCGTTCTTTTAAGGCTTCGTCACCATAAACAGCACATAACTTTTTATGAGCTTGCGATGCGTTTTTCCCTTTGTGGAAATAAAAAAGCAAAATATGACGAAAATGTTCCTTTTGATTTTCCATTTTTCATTGAACGCCAAACGAAAACTACAAAACAGATCAAAAAACTTTTTTTACTGATTAACAGCTGAATAGCCAACTATCAAAGAACAAAATGTGTTTTACATTTGTACTTCGTCTGCAAACCTAAAAATTCAACTGAAGCCATATGTGTGTGAAACCCGCAATTACTTAGTTGCCGACCCAATATAAGACATTCCCCGGAAAATAAGGCCCCCCTAGGCTAAACATGAGAGATTTGGTCCACTGATTCTGAAAGAAATGGAGTCACAAGAAATTCACCAGGAAATTCAGGAATTGGATTGTTATGATGATGTTCCAGAAGATGATGACATAATTGTCACTGAATAAATGAGTAAATTCTTGATACTGTAGGATTCACAGTTTGTCTGGTTTATGTTGACAATTACCGTACTACTGTATACAGGTAATCAATTTCCTTTATTTTCATTTAACAATAAATGTGTACCATATTCTTCTTCATGGAAAAATAAGACATCCCCTGAAAATAAGACCTAGCATATCTTTGGGAGCAAAAATTAATATAAGACACTGTCTTATTTTCGGGGAAACAGGGTAGTATTATTGCTGCTTCTCGTTTTGTCATTTTGGGTTTAAACCCTCCTCTGTAATAGCCACCACTGAAGGCAGATTTTGGTGGACTTTGAAAAACTTCTTTTACTTGAGGCTCCATATGCTTCATGGCTTGCAAAGCATAACGGCCTGCAAATCTTGCAGCAGCAATGGTCAACCCAACGGCTCCCACTGCACTGGCCGTGGCTCCGGCTCGGCTCCCCTGCCTCCCAAGAGCGCGGCTCATCCCAGCACCAAATGCCGGGCCACCCGCACCCCGCCGCTACCAGAAAGCAAGGGTGCCGCCAGCGGGGGCCAAAACCTCTGTCTTTTGTGTAACTTTTCCTTTTGTAGAATCATTATATTAAAAGATCATACAGGGCATTGCATTTAAAAAAATGTCTTGGCAATTAGAATAGGCATGGTTTACTTTACGTTTCAGTGCAATGTAAGTTAACCCTATAATCCTGGCATTTCCCCCAAGAAGACCCCAATGCACCTCCTCTCCCTGGGGAAGGTGCCCTAAATTAGTCCCTTGGGTCCTTTAGCAGGGATGCTATCCCTGCAGAGCTCTTTGTGGCTCCAGCAATTCCAGGCCTTCAGCTGACTTAGCCCAGAGCCACCACACCCTCCTCAACTCCATGCCCCCCACCGCCAACGCCACCTTACATGAGTCAAGGTCAGAGGAGGCATTCTGGACCTGGAAACCCCCTGGGTGGCCTCGTGAAGGCCCCCTGGGCCACTGGCTTATGCTTCCCTCTGCACTGTCCCAGGACACACCCGTCTCCTCTGGCCTTTTCTGGAGCCTTTACTCCACCCCAGTCTGGTGCTGAGGGGGGCGGGGTGACATCTTTCCTTCGAGATGACTGGCAATTTGACTACCATTTCCCGAGGGACAGCAAGGTCCGAGGTATTAAAAGATTATACAGGGCATTGCATTCCACCTCTCCCCTGCTTTCGAGTGCTTACAACACCGAGGGGAACTTATGTCACCCTTCACAGCAGCGTTTTGCTGCATGTCTGAAGACCCTAAAGCCATGGGAATTTGGTGAAGGGGGTATTCACTCCGGGCTGTGCATTTGGGACATTTTGTGAGAATGGGGCCATCCAAGAGTGCAAAATGGCTGCAGCAAAGGCTTGGGGTGGGGTTGAGACAGCTTAGTGGGAGCTCAGATGGGTGGGAATTTGATACCTATTGACCTGTCCAGCTAAGGGGTCTGGGCTCTGTCCCACAGAACAAGGAGAGACTGTTCAGGTTTTGGAGCAGAGGAGTCTGATGACCTCACATAATCCACCATTCTTGTGGGATCAGCAGCAAAGTCCATGTGCATTTTGAAGCATGAGCCACGTCCACCTGACCCATCACATCTTACCTTTGACCAGAGTTTGTTGGGTTTCTGGGTAAGGAGGACAAGAGGACTCAAAGCCCTCCTTCTCCTCCTACGGTGAAAGCTGTTCCTGACAAGATGCCTTAGCTGTGTTTTCCCTTCCCCCGCCGTTTCCTACCCTGGCCCATTTGTCCTCTGAAAGGGCCACTTGTCCAGCAGAAGGACAAGTTCAGGCTCCTCACCTGTCTGACAGGGGCGACCTTTGGGACCAGCCCTGCCTTGTGTAGCCACAGCGATGGGCCACTCTTCCCGCACAAGTCGGCCATTCCAGGAACTGTTCTCATCCTCCATCCACCCACCCACACCCACCCCTGCGCTCTGCTCAGCTCTTTTGCCTGCCTGGGCGCCTTCATACAAACCACACTCAGCCACTCAATCAGTCAAACCAGTCAG